CAATAGAAATGTAAATTACTAATGTCATTAGTATTCTTTGAAAGTATCATATATCCTATGGCTGCAGGTGTGTCCAGATTTACATTTATGTCCTTAACTATTTTCTAGGTTGTTTGGTGAACCCAAGTAATTTTGTTTGTTTTTCTTTCCATAGAGCATATCATGTCCCAAGTGGGAAAATACTAGCTGTAAAGGTAAGTACTGGATACATTTCATGAAATTCATGACATTCTTGATGCTCATCACTTTTTCTCCACTCCCACCCCCCATGTTCAGCTTGAGTTACAGGTAGTGATAAAAAGGAAATGGTTTTAGGTTTGGATTCGGAGGTGGAAGCTGTAGCACTGTTGTGCATTCAAGCTCCTAAGGGTTGTGCTGCTTTTACAGGGGGTCTGAGTGGTGGATCTGGGTGAAGGTCGGGGCCTTTGGGGAGAGGGGGGGCCTTTTTTAAAGGCGGGTCCCAGGGTGGTGGGGCAGGCTGGGGGCGGGGCCTGAGTGAAGGGCGGGATGGGACGGGCCTGTGTAAGAGGCAGGTCCAGGGGTGGTGTCTGGGTGAGGGTGAGGGTGAGGGTGAGGGTGGGCCCGGGGCCGGGCCTTCGGAGTTTGGGGGCTTTGAGCCACTCCTCATCATCCAACCTGGGTACCCCGAGCCTGGAGCCTGTGACAGACACCACACGTGCACACACACACTCTCTGCTTCCGGATCAGCGAGTCTCCAGGATGGCTGGGTGTTCTAAGGGTGTCTCCCTCCCCCTCCCCCCAAGTCTGAGGCTGCAGGGACAGCTCAGCGTCTCCCTTCCAGGGGCGGGGACTGGGTCCTTCGTCCTGACACAGGGAAATTGCCCTGAGACACCGCAGCCCCTGAGCCCCTCCCGGACCCGTCTCCCCACAGCCTCATCAACGCCGACTTCTGCGTGGGCTCCGTCTGCGTGGCCTTCGGGGCAATTCTGGGCAAAGTCAGCCCTGTCCAGCTGCTCATCATGACCCTCTTCCAAGTGACCCTGTTCTCAGTGAATGAGTTCATCCTTCTCAGCCTGCTCAATGTGAGCAGGGGTCGGAGTGGGGGTGAAGGTGGAGGGAACACTTGGGGAGACCGCAGAGGGGTAGCGAGAGAGAGGGCTGGGGAGCCACGCCAGGTGGATTCCGTTCGACCTTGACACGTCTCTTAACCCTCTGAACCCAGTCTCTAAAGTGGGAGCAGTGACATTTATTGGGCATGCGTACAGCCTGGGCTCAGGGATCCCCACCTTCTCCCCTCCCCAGTGCATTGGTCTGTGGGAGCCCCAGGCTCGTGAAGTCAGAGACAGCTGGGCATTGTCTGTGCGTGGCTTGGCGAGGGCATGGGGGGGGGAGGGGGGAGAGGACATCAGAGCGTGACTGACCCCTTGTTCCCAGGTGAAGGATGCAGGGGGCTCCATGACCATCCACACATTCGGCGCCTACTTTGGGCTCACAGTGACCTGGGTCCTCTACCGGCCCAACCTGTACCAGAGCAAGGCCAGGCAGAGCGCTGTGTACCAGTCGGACCTCTTTGCCATGATCGGTGAGTCTGCCACAGGGATCGAGGGCCCGCGTGATGCCTGAGGGCCGCCACGGTCACACTGATCTCCACATGGCGGTCGCTGCCGGTTCCCCGTGGGGGGAGGGAGGGGTGCTCACGGACCCTTCCAGAATCCCCGATGCTTTGGGCAGCCACCCTGTGTTTTCCCCAGGATGCCCTGGGGCCGACACTGTGGTTCCCATCCTGGGGCCAGGGCGGGGTGTTCCATCTCCTCCCTGTGTCCATTCATTCCAGAGAACACACATGTCCGCCACCCACTCTGGTCTCTTAAAACCTAGCCGGTGTGGCTCAGTGGATAGAGCGTCGGCCTGCGGACCGAAGGGTCCCGGGTTCGATTCCGGTCAAGGGCATGTACCTTGGTTGCGGGCACATCCCCAGTAGGAGGTGTGCAGGAGGCAGCTGATCGATGTTTCTCTCTCATCGATGTTTCTAACTCTATCCCTCTCCCTTCCTCTCTGTGAAAAATCAATAAAAATATATTTAAAAAAAAAAAAGAAGAAGAAGAGCCCCCAGCATGAGTACAGGGACAGGGACAGGAGACAGCTGGGCATGGCCCACCCATCTAACGCCTCTTCTCCCGCCCCCGGCCCCGTCTGGTCTGGCCAGGCACCCTCTTCCTCTGGATGTACTGGCCCAGCTTCAACTCGGCTGTGTCCAATCACGGAGACGCCCAGCACCGAGCGGCCATCAACACCTACTGCTCCTTGGCAGCCTGCGTGCTGACCGCGGTGGCGCTGTCCAGCGCCCTGCACAAGAAGGGCAAGCTGGACATGGTGAGCAGGGGGTTGGGGGGGCAGTGGGGACCTGGGGAGGGGTGCAGCTCTGACCGCCTATGCCCGGTGGGCACACATCCCCAGGCCCTGCCAAGGACTCTGTGAGGCAGGCGGCGTCAGGATCGTTGTACCCATTGCGCGGATGAAGAAACTGAGGCTGAGAGAGAAAGGAGCTGTCCCGATGGCATAGCTGGTTTTCCGCAGAGCTCTGCGTGCGGGAGGCCTGACGTCCCGCCCGCCCTGCCCGCCCTGCCCAGGTGCACATCCAGAACGCCACGCTGGCCGGAGGGGTGGCCGTGGGCACCGCCGCTGAGATGATGCTCATGCCTTACGGCTCCCTCATTGTCGGCTTCATCTGCGGCATCGTCTCCACGCTGGGCTTTGTGTACCTGTCGGTGAGGCTCGGAGCGGAGGGGGGGATGCAAGGGGGGGATGGGGAATCCTGGGTCTCTGTATTGAGACCTCCAGAATCCTGGCCTCCCCGCCCCCAGCCTTAGCTCTCGGCCTGAGCAGCACCCCTCCCCCTCCCCAGCCATTCCTGGAGTCCCGCCTACGGATCCAGGACACATGCGGCATCCACAACCTGCATGGCATGCCTGGCGTCATAGGCGGCATCGTGGGTGCTGTGACGGCGGCCTGCGCCAACGTTCAAGTTTATGGACAGGAAGGGTACGTATGGCCCAGCCGGCGGGGCTCAGGGGTTGAGCGTCGACCTATGAACCAGGAGGTCACGGTTCGATTCCCTGTCAGGGCACATGCCCGGGTTGCGGGCTCCATCCCCAGTAGGGGGCGTGCAGGAGGCAGCCGATCCATGATTCTCTCTCATCACTGATGTTTCCATCTCTCTCCCTCTCTCCCTTCCTCTCTGAAATCAATAAAAATGTATTTGTAAATAAGGAAGGGTACAGATGGAGGAGATGCAGGGGACCAAGACGGTGTCTCTCTTCTGGTCCTTCCCCAACGGGACGCCTCTTTTTTCATGGGTCTCTCTCCCCAAACTCTGTCCTTCCACAAACGTCTGAGACCGTCTGATCGCTCCGATGCCCCCATTTTGCAGATGGCAAGGCTGAGGCCCGGGGCTTGTGGAACACTGGCGCCCGCTCACATCTGTGGAGTGGCAGCAGGGGGTTCCGTGGCCTCCCTGAGGGGCCCTGACCTGCCTCCTGTCTCCACCCCAGGCTGGCCCACGCCTTTAACCTTGACGGTTTCAAGACTGAGTGGACCCCGAGCCTGCAGGGCAGTTTCCAGGCCGCCGGCATCTTCGTGTCCCTGGCCATGGCCCTGGTGGGCGGCCTCTTTGTGGGTGAGTGGGAGTGGCTGGGCCAGGGGAGGCGGGGCCGTTGTGATGCTTGGTGGGGGGGGGGGGGGGGGGGCAAGAATTTAGAGGTCAGCCCAGAGCCACCAGGATCCTGGAGAGGCGGTCCCCGCTGAGGGAAAGGGCTGGGTTAGGCCGAGTGGAAGTGGGTTCTGACCTCTTGTGACCTCTGACTTTCCCTTAGGAGGCATTTTGAAATTACCCATCTGGGGCCAAGCTTCTGATGAGAACTGCTTCGAGGATGCTGTCTACTGGGAGGTGAGTTCTAGGGACTTGTCCCCCCCAAGCCCGGCACAAGGACACTGTCCCCCCTCTCCCCTGAGCTGGGGCCTGGGGAGCCAGGCGCTGAGGGGTGGGGACGGAGCCCACACCACCTGCTCCTTCCTCCCGGAGGCTGTGTCTCCTGGGGTTGAAGGCTTTAATCTAGAGCAATGGTTGCCAATGTGGGGCACATGCCCCGTCGGGGGGCAATTTGACTTTTAAGGGGGGGCAATTCGAGAATGAGTTATTAACAGTGAACTTTAGTCCTAGCCTGTTTGGCTCAGTGGATAGAGCTTCGGCCTGCGGACTGAAGGGTCCCGGGTTCAATTCTGGTCAAAGGCACATGCCCGGATTGCGATTGATCCCCAGTAGGGGGCATGCAGGAGGCAGTGGATCAATGATTCTCTCTCATCATTGATGTTTCTATCTCTCTCTCCCTCTCCTTTCCTCTCTGAAATCAATAAAAATATATTATTTTTAAAAAAATGAACTTTTTGCATTTCTTCTGGCTCTAGGGGCCTCATGTACAGTCTATAAATATATATGGTGACATATTTATGCATTTCAGTTCTCTATTCTATGTTTTGAAACTTTATTTGCTAGTTTTTCATATCACTTCATATTATTCTTATTTTTTTAAACCATTTCTTAGCGATTTCTTCCTGGGTACTTCAACTGTCCTTCCGTTCTTTCATTTTTCTCTCTCATGGATGCCATGTTCTTTGGAAGCTTGTTTAGACCAAGCTCATGGCCTTTGAGGCTTCCTCCACATGAATAGGAGCTCACTTTTTGAATAATAAGAATTCTATGTCATGGGGGAGGGGGGTTCAGGATGTTAGAGATGCTTAGGTGGGGCGTGGCCACAGAAAGGTTGGGGACCACTGGTCTAGAGCAATGAGTCCGAGAGTGGGGTCTCCATCAGCAGCCCCTGAGAACTTGTCCCTCCTGAATCCGAAACTCAGGGGGAGCATGTCTGCCTCCAGACCCCGCCCCCACCCTCCAGAAGCAGGGCTGCTCTGATGGGGGAGGCTCCCTCCCAGCTCCCTCCAGGGCTGCTGTGGATGCCTGTGCAGAAACCCAACCTGCAAACATCATTCCAGAAGCTGAAAGTCGTGGGATGTCTTTTAAAACATGCCATGGTGTGGGCTCCCTGTGACTTCGGGAAGTCCTTCCTCCCCAGGAATCATATGGGAGGTGTTTACCTGTGTTTGTGAGATGATGAGGTTGGCAGGGGCCCTCCCTGTCTCCTGTGCTTCCACTCAGACAAAGATGGGGACCTAGCCTGTGTCTGTGGCCCCTGCTATGAGGGTCGGCCCATGATGGCCTTTCTTTTGGTTCTGTATTTTTTAAAATATATTTTTATTGATTTCAGAGAAGGGAGAGGGAGAGAGAGAGAAACATCAAAGATAAAAGAGAATCACTGATCAGTTGCCTCCTGCACAACCCCTACTGGGGATCAAGCCCGCAATCCAGGCATGTGCCCTTGACCAGAATCGAACCCGGAATCCTTCAGTCCACAGGCAGACGCGCTAGCCACCGAGCCAAACTGGCTAGGAATCAAGTCTTTTTTTTTTCTTTTTTTTTTAATGACTTGCCTAGATTTTTCTTGCACAGCCGAGATGGTATTATACACCCAATTTGGTCCCCTGCTCCTTCTCTTTATCTCTCACCAGAAGTGTTCGGTTTCATTCATTCTTACTAAACTCTCTGTTTTAGCAGCGTAATTATTTTCACTTCATATTTAAAGTCAGAACTTAAACTATTTTAGACACCACAGTTACAACCCACATGGATTTAATGCTAACGAGACAAACTAAAAAAACACCATCAATTCCCTTACGTAGATGTTCGCTCCAGGTTCTGTTTTGATATTTATAATTTACTAGAGGCTTGGTGCATGAAATTCGTGCACTGGGGGTGGGGGCTCAGCTCGGGCTGCACCCTCTCGCAGTCTGGGAGCCCTCGGGGGATGTCCGACTGCTGCAGAGGTAGGAGAGGCTCCCGCCACTGCTGCTGCACTAGACAGCCATGAACCTGTGGGAGTGCACTGACCACCAGGGAGGAGCTCCTGCATTGAGTGTCTGCCCCCTGGTGCTCAGTGTGCATCAGAGCAACCGGTTGTTCTGCCATTCAGTCGATTTGCATATTAGCCTTTTATTATATAGGATTCTAAGTTCACACCTTTCCCCTGCTGTATACCCTTCAGCCACACTCAGTAGAATCCTGTGCCCGAGGAAGTGAGCCACTGTTGGGCTGGACTTTGGGAGGTTAATCTAGAAGATGACTTCCCAGAGAGAGGGGGGAGATAGCAGTCTTTAGGATTAAATCCTAAGGCAGGGCTGACCCTCTCCACTGGACACAACTGATGGATCCACTTCTGGCCTCCCCCACCTTATTTTATTTGTTGTTGTTTGTTTGTTAATCCTCACCCAAGGATATTTTTCCATTGAATTATTTTATTTCATTTGTATTTATTTAGTAATATATATATGTATATATATATTTATATATTTATTTATATATTTATTTTACTTTTCCATTGATTTTTAGAGAGAGTGGAAGGGAGAGAGAGTGGGAGAGAGAGAAACACCAATGTGAGAGAGACACATCGATTGGTTGCCTCCCACACATGCCCTGACCGGGGCCAGGGATTGAGCCTGCAACCAAGCTACATGCCCTTGACCGGAATCGAACCTGGAACCCTTCAGTCTGCAGGCTGACGCTCTATCTATCTACTGAGCCAAACCCGCTAGGGCCCTCACCTCACTTTTGGAGCTGCCTGCAGTTCCGGGAGCTTATCATGCTGTCTTGCCTCTCACCGGGCACACGAGTGGGTTCGGCACAACCGGAATCCCCCCAGGCCGGGTGATCAGCCTCTCGTGTGCATTTAGGACACTCGAATGCCTTCCCATCGCTCTGTCCAGTCCTGGAGTGCCCAGCACCCTGGACAGTGGCGGACGTGAACTAGGGGCCTGATGCACACAGTCAAGACTGCCCTGCTCCTCGGCGTGCAATCCACACGATGACCAGTAGGTGGCGCCCGCCACACACCATTTGCGGCTCCCGACTTGCCCAGGCTGTTCCAGTTCCGTGAGGGACACCCGCCCTCCGGGTCCTCCTCCGAGCTGCCTCCTCTCTCTGCAGGTGCCCGAGGAGCCCAAGAACGCTGCCTCGCATCATGAGGACTCTACCCTCAAGGCACCAGAACCCTGAGCTCCCAGGGCAGGTGAGAAGCAGGTAAGGGGAGCGTGGCTTGTCAGTGGGGGATGGACGGGCAGGTTCTCCCAGTGGGGGCCCAGCCCTGGGAATCAGATACCACCAGCGAAGGGGCAAAGAGAAAGCACCAAAGAAATAGAATAGAGCCCTCCTGCCTGGAGTGGGCACGCTGGCGTTGGTGGTCAGACCGGGGTCAGACTGGGTGGCGCACACAGGGATGTGGGCGAGGTGCCCGGGACTGGAATGAATGATGGCTTTGCTGCTTCAGAGCCGAGTGCCTTTGAGGTTCTCCTCTCTCCAGGGACTCAGTCTCATTTACTTTTATTTTTATTTTATTTTATTTATTTAAAAAAATATATTTTATTGATTCATTACAGAGAGGAAGGGAGAGGGATAGAGAGTCAGAAACATCGATGAGAGAGAAACATCGATCAGCCGCCTCCTGCACACCTCCCACTGGGGATGTGCCCGCAACCAAGGCACATGCCCCCGACCGGAACCGAACCCGGGACCCTCCCGTCCGAAGGCCGACGCTCTATCCACTGAGCCAAACCGGCCACGGCTACTTTTTTTTTAAAATATATTTTTACTGATTTCAGAGAGGAAGGGAGAGGAAGGGAGAAATAGAAACATCAACGATGAGAGAGAATCATGGATCGGCTGCCTCCTTACACCTCCTACTGGGGATCGAGCCCGCCACCCGGACATGTGCCCTGACCGGGAGTCGAACTTGACCGCCTGGTTCATAGGTCGACGCTCAACCACTGAGCCACACCGGCTGGGCCTGAGTCTCATTTATAAAAGTGGAGAGGACAGGACTGGCTCTATTCAATCCATCAACTGGAGTAAGACCCTCCCTGCCTTCCTCCTTTCTGTCAACTCACATTTCCTTGCCCCTTTGGGGAGGCACCGAGCCCTTTCTCCAGCCTTCTGCATCCAACCCTCCAGAGACCCCCACAAAATGGGTGCAATTACTCCCCTCCATTCTTTTATTTACTTACTTATCTTTCCTCACCTGCGGATATTTTCCATTGGTTTTCAGAGAGCGTGGAAGAGAGAGGGGAAGACAGAGAGAAACATCGATGGGAGAGAAACACATTGACCGGTTGCCTCCTGCACGTGCCTGCAGCCATGGTACCTGCCCTTAACCGGACTCGAACCTGGGATCCTTCGGTCCGCAGGCCGACGCTCTACCCACTGAGCCAAACCGGCCAGGGCCTCCCCTCCCTTGAATAGACGAGGGAGTTAAGGCTCAGAGAGGTTCTGAGTTTCCGGGTCACACAGCTCACAAGTGGGTGAACTTGGGGTCTTTCTGGGTTATCATCATCGCTCCTGTCATCATCACTTGCCCTCCTGGAGGCCAGAGCTTGCAAAGAGCTGGGTCTGCGGCAAAAGGCTGAGTGACGTGGCAGGAGAAGATGTGGGGCTTTAAGGAAAGAGAAAGGCCAGGCTGTGACCAGTGGCTTCCGGTGCTCACCCCACCCCTAAAGGGAAAGGTGCCCAACGAGGCTAAGCAGGACCTGACCGCGGCCCCTGCTCTCGGCTCTCTCCCTGCAGGCTCCACAGACAGTCCCGGAGCCCAGGAGGAGCCGGTGCCGGCCAAGCTGGGCACGCAAGGACAAGGGGAGCAGCACCCCGCCTGCTGGCATGGCCCAGGGCGCCGCCACCCTCGCTCCCCTTCGCTGCCTGGACGTGGAGAAGGAGGAGGAGTAGGCAAAGTGGGCGGACAGGCCAGGTTCTGGCTGCAGGAAGCCAGCCACCAGGGGTCCCAGTGGCCTCACTCAGCAGGAGCTGGGCTGAGCCTGGAAGGGGACCCAAGCCCTCCCGGGCGACAACTTGACTGCCAGCCCCCGGCTGCTGGGTTCTCAGCCTGCACGACCCAGCTCCCTGCCCCCCCCCAACCCCCACCCCCGACCTCTCTGTGCCATACACCCATGGCGGCCTCTGTGAATAAAAGTTCTAGGTGTTCTTTGTAACACGGGTGCAAACACTGCAACAGTTTGAGGGAGAACAGGATGCAGAGACCTGGCTTCCAGCCCCAGTCCTGTGACCGCCCACCCCAAGCTGCCATACACACTGCAAGGGAAATTACCCCAGGCTTCCGGGGAAGAATTTGGGGTGCTGGAGCCGGCCCCTGCCCGGAGCCCCCTGGCAAGGCTCAGCTTGGGGGCATGGGTATTTCCCCAAGGGCCCCTTCTTACTTCACATTAGCCATCCCATGTGAAACGGCCATGCCTCCTGTGCCCAGGTGGCTTCCCAGAGTGGGTCACCTGAGTAGGGTTTTGGAGGCTGAATAGGAGTTTACCAGGAGGCTGGCAAAGCGACAGCACGGGCAGAGACTCAGGGATGGGAATGGAGGGAAAGAGAGGGGAGGCAAAAGTGTGACAGCTGGCGACTAAGAAGCAGAATCCAGATCCTTTTTGAGGCGCAAAGACCCCAGAGAAGAAAGGGTGAGGGGAAAGGGCAGAGAGGGTCTCTTCTTTGCCTGCAAATCCACCCCTCCCCGCCCCCATCACAATT